AAAGTTTAAATATGAATTATATTGGTATTCCAAATTGCTTATTCCGTGTATTCCTTGATTAAGATCAATATTGGGATTCTATTCTATTCTATCAATATTGGGATCAATATTGTTCTAATATTGGGATTACTGGATTGAATTCGAACTCCTATTCTGTGACTGCTATCACAATTGGTTAAACTCTATAATTTATGGGTAGATAAGTCAAAAATAGTTTAACTTGCCAAAATTTAATTTTGAGATTTAGTACAAGATTTATTTAAAATGATTTATTTAAAAAAACGTTTTCTCTCCATCTTTTCATTCCGATGCTTTAAAATACCAATTTACACTACGAAAAGTTGAGTATGTATGAAATTGAAAATATTTTCATAAATTTCTATGAAAAGAATATGGTTGCTTTTATTGATCTACTAATATAGTAGGTATTTTAGTTTATATAATCGATTCATTTCGAGGATTCGTTCTAAAATCTCCTCGATTTATCATAGTAACCTGACACATCCTCGGTACATACGGCCGTTTGATCCCAAACTAGCCAGAGCCTGTACTATGGTAACTGCTGATAAACTAACTAATATATTTCTAGATAGATATACAAATATTACATCCAGACACAGAACTAATGATTGTGCTCATCACGCATTATTTGTCCTGGGTGGGAATCGAATAAACGTCAAAAACTCTGATACATTTCTGAGTAGCTAAGGGCTATACAAGGAATCGTAAGAAAACTTAATAATAATTCCTGAGAGTTCTTCATCAAAATTTTGTACAATTATGAAATCTGCAAATAGATTTTCTTTTATCTTGTTTTTTTTTTATATTCTGCACTATTGTTGTGTATTTTCTATTTTTATTTACTTGTAAAAGTCCATTTAAAAAACCGGTCATTGTACTTTTGTCAGTTTCGTTTCGAGTCCGTCTGAACCATGTTTGCGTATCACTGTCTGTTCATAATACGAGAAGTGATGTCAGCCAAAGAAACTTAATCTTAGCACTCGTCACGGTGATATTGACTTTTCTTTGCTGGTAGTCAAGTCCTGCATTGGTTTTTATATATATATAAATATATAGGAATACTTATATCCTGTATCGCGGGGGACTTTCCACACAGACATGAATCTGTATTTCAAGTTAATTCTGTGACGTAATGATATTGTTCTTACACGGACAATATTCTTCATTCTCATTTCATTCATTCTTCATTTCTCTCTTGACAGGCCACAGTTAGCCTGCAGCCTGGCAGGCAGATATCTATGGCGAGATTGAAAATCCTGAACCCATTTTAGATGTTATTAATGAGCTCTCTAAGCTTACTACAGCTTATCAACCAATCTATTCCTCTTTCAGTTTTTCTTCAGTTATTCAACCGTAGAAACTGACATTCCAAATGCAAATAAACACCGATTATTTCTATATCATTTCGACATATCGTAAAACATGTACACAATACAAGTTTTATTTTCTTATGGAACATGTGGACACGTTGGAAACAGTTACTGATAATGTCATCAGTTACCTACTCATTAAATAAAGTAACCTGTTAGTAGTCGAGTTCATTTTGAAGTGTGTACTTATCGGTTAGTTTTATGACAAACGCTGGTTCTGTTATTTTTTCACGATTGATGTGTACGTGACAACATGAACGCTACGTACTGGCACCTCAGCGAGTAATTTTCTGTCAAATATTTGAATATGGATTGATCCTTTACCCAATATCCGTATTTATTTAGGCCAGGTGTATTATTATGTGAGTTTCTGTTTATAGACATGCTATTGCTTTTGTTTTTTGCAAACAAGCAGAGATCACTTGATGATAAGCAGTTACCGTTCCCATTGACACCTGCTACTCGAGAGACACAAGTGCGTTGCCGTCCTTGCACTGCCCTAAGATAATAGAGGGAGGGGGGAGGTGGACGGACTGGCCTCATGGTCTAAAGGTTAGTAATCCTGACTACTACGCCATTTTTTATTACTACGTGATCAGCACGATCATTTGTTCTGTGCCTGGGTGTACTTTATCCATCTATCTATCTATAATATGTATGTATTTAGAAATATATCTGGTTACCATAGCACAGGCTCCGCCTAATTTAAGATGTGTGAAAATATTATTATTATTTATGGGTCCTGCAGTAACACCACTCAATTGGTGAAAAGCGTCGAAGTCGTCGCTGAGCTGCGGATGTCCGTTTTACTGTGGAAGCGTGAGTGCGTGTCGAGGATTGGCCCTCCCAAAACTGTTAAATAATTTGCCTGGTTTAAATGAAAGGGCATAACCAAGTGCACAACTACTGAACTTCCTTTGATTCAGTGTGGGTATATGTTTATATACAGTACAGGATCATTGTCATATAATTTAGTAACAATGGAAACGGTAATGACTAAGTTCATTGATTTAATCAGTGTGAATCTTAATTAGTTTGTATTCCTTACGATATAATATGCAGATGCGTATACCTACCTAACACGCTTTTATTAGCTTCACTTGTAACTTTCTACGTAACAAATTTTGGAAGTCAATTTTAACCTTTTAATAAATTAAACTTCCGATGGCAAAACTATAATTTGGCGTCTTGTAGCTTGTGCTATGTAAGTAATTATATAACTGTGTTTGTCTTATATCTTGTATCGTACTATCGTATTATACTGTAAAATTGCAACCCCCCCATGCGTTCCTTAATTTCCTTCTCCATCCAGCGGTTGCCTGGAAGAGATCGCAAATCGCGATATGGCCGCCAATTGTACAACGATTTTACTCGTATATAACTAGTTTTACTTTATTTGAGTAACTGTCCTTAGATTATAAATCTAAGGACAGTTACTCATTAAAGTGTATACAAACTGTTCTATAATTATGTCCTTTTTTTTCTTGTACAATAAAGAGTTATCTATCTATCTAAACGAATCACATTTATCCCTTTATTGATTATTAGTATATCCCTCGAATTTGGCCTCATATCATTCGTTTGATGTTGGCAAAGTTGTTTTAATGATGAAACAGGTAGGAGGAAGAGACTTTGGAAAAGAGCTTTTGGTTCATAACTGTCATTAAAAGGTTCTTGTATAAAACTTGTCGCTATGTCGACTTCATGACTAAAATTCCTGAGAATTGACAAAACAAATACTTACATATGAGTTATCTTGTTTGTGCTTCGTAGCATTCGGTTACGTGAGCTTAGCTCAAGTTGCGAAAGCACAGTTCGCACTGAAACAAATTTAGCGCGACGCAAACAGGAAGCACGTTAATGCATAGTACTATTGTTACAATCTTGACTAGATGTGACATGCTCACGCGCAAGTACAAACGTACCCAATCAAACTTAGATCGTATGATATTATTTAACGATGTGGACAAAGACTTATGACTTATGTGTTAAAGTTTAAAATAAGGCTTGATTTTTATTAACAATGCAATATTATTCTAAATACGAACTGTTACGAATTTACTTTATTACACATTACGAGTATACTTGTGTATACTTGTAATGTGTAATAAAGTAAATACATATGGCACAAACCCTATACCAACCCGTCTGGCCAGCGTGGTATAGTATAGGGCCAAAACCTCCTTTCTGAGGAGAGGCCTATGTCCAGCAGTGGACTATTAAAGGCTGTTGATGATGATGATGATGATATGCGTTAAGAATATAACCAAGCTTTCATATTCTATAATTTAATCTTATCACATAATGGTAGACCTAAACTAATCTAGTAATTTTTAACTCACTATCATTATCAAAAATACAAAATTAACATCGATAGGATTTAATGTCTTTCTGCACCAAAACTCCGATCGGTCATTTTATACGTTGTTAGGTCGTCGTCTCGTTATTCTTGTTGTGGTGGCGAGTAAGTTAAATCTACCGTCACAGATATATACATAGATCACATATACAACGAGGGCATAAATCGTACGGTATGCTGACTTTGGTGATGAACAAATCATCATCTGACCAGAGAACTGATAAAACTGACCAATAACGGACAGAAACGATGTTTTCTGTGGTTCTAGAAAAAACTTAAAACTAGCTCATAATATTGAAAAAAACCGATTGCATGTAATTTGTATAATTTACCCAGTGTCACTTTTACGATTAAGACGAATCTAACGACACCTCACAAGTCAAAATCTATCAAGCCGTTTACAGTACAGAACGTGCCAAAGAAATATACTATACATACATACACTTGAAAAACATAAACTTCCTTCTTGCTCAGTTGGTTTTTATAACCCTTAATGATGTAAAATCTAGGTCAAAATACCTGTCATCTTAATTATTTTATTCACACATTTAATCTATATCTATATAAGCAGACACTGACAGACTGATTTACTGACTGATAGATCAACGCACAGCTGAAACCGCTGGGTCTACATGCAAGAAATTCTGCTCAAATGTTCCTTACGTAGGGTTTCAAATTTATATCAAACTTCGTTATTTTTGGTAACACTGTTTTAAAACTCAGTGTAAATACTCTTTATTAAAAGTTTTGATGAAAGACACAGATCTTGATCCCCTACGCGGTCTGATGTCGACCACCACGCGGACGAAGTCGCGGGCAGAAGCTAGTCATTTATAAAAATATATTAACACGTTTTTTTTTCAAATGGTAATTAAACAACAATATATCTATTTACATTACGTGATAATTTTCATTAAAAACTGGACTAACAAAACCGGTGTACCCCCCTCTATACAAATTATAATTAAAAAAACTAATCTAGTAATATAATTTTAATACTGGTCTGTGGCCCTGTTATTTCTATGAAATAAAATATTCGTTGCTATTGCCATAGGAAAATATTATCTGGTGTCTATAATTATATCACCGGGGCCGTAGTTATTTTATTTTTATAAGTTAATCTATAAATGAATCCTATTTGTTGAGAAATAACTGACAAGCGATCTATTTTATATTGTATTTTTGTATAAATGTGGTTGGTTTTTAGGTCTCGTGATGAGCGAATGAATTAAATAGCACATCTGTATGCTCTATTTCTTGGTCACATCTAGTTCACATAACTCCTCGCGCATTTGGTAAGACGCGCAGTGAAAGTGATTGCGCACGAATGTCGCGTGCAGAGCAGGCGCACCCGCCGACCTTGCCATATAGGCGCGCGCCGCATCGCGCCACAACGCAGTTACCGGTTGTACATCGTGAATATGCGAGGGTACACATAAATTGACGTACCTATCAATAGATCCAATACTACTGAGCTTGCCATACATGTTCCTAGGAATTGACGAGCAAATCAGTATGTCAGGCCAAGAGAATGCCGTTGCTATTGAGGACTGTTAATGGAAGTTACTTCTTCGACGATGTGTTTCTCAGTATTTCGGTAGCTTGCTAGATCAGTTTTTATGATCTTCTAGGTGCCATCTGTATTTGCGACAGCTGTCGTTGATCGAGTCCTCGGATACTCTCTAATGACTCTATTATTGTTGTTTAGGCGTTGATTGTTATAGATGCCTGCTTGGGCTTGCGTGTTTAGTTTTAGATTGTGACATATTTGGTACTTATCTACTTTATAAATATCCATAGGCAATATTTACTTAGAACAATAATAGCGGTATGTAAGCAAACTTCAAAGGAACGTTTTAAGAAAATAAGGAATATGCTCTAATATGCCTATGTGTAAGAGATAATACAAATTAATATACATACAGTGGGCATCAATGTTTTTAGGCTGTAAAACAAAACAAAAGTCAGCAGTTAAAATAGATTTCTCTTAGTCGGCGATTGCAAATAATAGTATTTATGAGATACATGTACGTAGATAAACGCGTTGACTTTTGCAATTACCGTAGTAAATACTGAAGAACAGTTACCTCATCGTAGAAGCGAACCGGGTGACATATTTTTCCGCGATTTTGCAAACGAACAATTGCACTAAGAATAAACAACTGATAGTATAATTTTTTAATGGCAAGAGTTGTATATTTACTTCAGTTTATTATTAGAAATAGCCATTGTTGGGTATCTTTGCTAGTCTGCAGGTAAGTACCTATAGTTCTAGGCCCTATAAGGATTGTATGTTTGTATATAATTTTAAAAGTACTTGGACGTCCTTGAAAAGGACAAGGTTCTTAAATTGTCTGATCAATAGATTTTACGTAAATATTCCGCAATAATTTCGCTGTTTGTAAACAGAGTACTTAAGGTGACCTTGTTTACATACGCTTAAATATTCCACATCTAAGAATGGAAAATTAAAAGATGAAAAATATTCCTAAAATTTATCAGTATTTACCCGTATTTAAATAATTAAGGTTGACCTGGTTTACATACGATTAAAATATTCCGCTCCTAAGAATGGAAAATTAAGAGATGAAGAATAAACCTAAAATTAATCATTATTAAGCCGTATCGAAGTAATTATTACTTGTTTGATGGCATGATAAAAATAAGGCCATTGCAACGAGACTAACACTTGATAAAAAGAAGGAGTTTTTAAAGTTTATTTGAAACGATATGAATAAAATCTGATTTTATTTTTAAATTTATACATCTGCTACTTAAATAGATCAGATTATACTAATCATTAGTAAAATATGAAGTAGATGGTAATGGTAGAGGGTAATATAATATATCTTCTTATGAGAAACAATTGCTATCATGGGTACACAGTACCTACAGCAATTTTTTACGTGTCTAACCCCGGTTTAAAGGGATACCATACGTTTGTCAGATTACGTAATATTAATTTATTACGTTTTGCCCGAGGCGGATTGTATTGGTTTTGGGAAAAAAACAATAAGTACTTTAAAGTTAAATTTGGGTTAGGTTAGAACTTACAGTGACCATTAAAGCGCGAAGGCAAGCGAGCGTGCTGCGGCAACGGTCAACGAGCGCCAGAACCCCTCTAGATTTGGTGAAACATGTCTGTTTATCGATATTTACCGTGTATTTGAAGGTAATTTTAAGATTTACTAAATTAATTTTGGTAAATGGTAAATTCGGATTTTTAACATAACTCACTTTTAAATCTTAGTTCGGGCTTTTACAGTAATAAATATGCTAACATTTACGGAAGACATAGACGTTATAAAATTGTGTACTACGCTAATAACAAAGCTTAAATGGTAATACTTAGTTAGTGTTTCAAGATGACATAGAACGTAGACTCGTGTCAATAGTTATAATTAGTATTGAACGGGATGATACAAATGTATGCACGTTTGTGTGTGTTGAGCTCTTCAGCCAATCGTTATTGTTATAATTGTGCACGTGGTCACATGGACCTTCGAGGACACCCCCCCTCACTTCTATGAAAAGTAGATTCGTTTCATACTACGCTATTAAACTCTAGTTCTATTGAATAACAAAACGAGTTATGATCTGGCCTTTGCTTTCGTAGAAATTACTAAGCATTTTTATTTATCGTTCTAGACACCACGTTAAGACGTAATAAAAATTTTCTTCTAATAAAATTAAAAGTGATATTTGTATGTACGTAATGGAGACTAGCATTGATATTTTAACGAATCAAATGAAGTGCGGACAGTATTGCAAAATGTTCATATGCATAAAGTTAATTCTGCGAACACAGCAGAGACACAAGATAGACGCGTATTGGCAAATAAGTGCGCGTTTGTTTCGGGGCCGTCATGTTAGAACGGGCGACCTCTCGCCTCCTCGGCCCGCGCTCGCCTTACAACTACCAGCATTGAAGCATTTACCTTTCTTAGGTCGGACTTGTCCTCAATACAGACTAAAAGAGTTGATTTATTACGATGCACGGTATGCCGGCTCAATTTAGAGACAAATTCTGTGCAATATGCGTCCAATTCGCGATATATTTACATTCTAGTTGATCGTGTGGCGTCAAAACTCAACATTAGCCCCGTTTGTTAATATGGAGATTAGTAAGCATTCTTAGCTACAAATTGATTCGAAGTAGGTAGATAATAACAGATATTGTGTTCATGTTTTGAAGAATATTAAAAAAATAAACCAATTTCCTCTGATTGCAATTTATTCAATGTAAATTAAATTAAAAACCATAAAAGGAATTATTAAATGATCATTATGAACTTTAATTAATAATAAGATTTTGAGATATCAACTATGCTTTTTTTTTTAATTTTGCTCTAATTTGGAAATTTCGAGCGTGGAAACCATCAAATTGCCCACGCTTAAAAGGCATGTACCTATTGTTAAAATATATTCAAGGTTTTTATATAAAAGGCCCTGGAGGACGTTAGGTAATTTTTGACTAAAGTACCAAGATGTGTTTGAATGATAAAGTCCAACAAATGAACTATGGCTAATTAGCACATATTTGACATGACGAGTTTTGTGGTATTCGAGCGCAACATTTAAGTGGCAACTAAATTGTTTGAACTCGTTAGTAACGAGTTTCTGCGTAGTGTGAAATGTAACTAATGCTATTAGATAGTAAAAATAACAAAGAAACCAAAATATCGTTGTTAGGGCGTTCATTTTTTTTAATAAAACTGTCGTTACGTCATTAAAATATTTCATAAGTTAGGCTGGAGGTTTATCAAGTAATAAATAAAAGTCGAAGAGTGAGAGAACTAGAACTAGTTCACGGCAGTTATTATAAAACAGGAAATACTGATTGTGACACTGATATAATCATTAGCTGCTACTTAGTGTCAAAACACGGCAAACACTGATTCAAATATCTATTTTATCGTAAAATTTCGCACTTTTTTTTTAAATCGACCTAACAAAAAGGTGAGGTTGTATTTTTATACAATTCAATTGAGAACTTCACCTCAATTCAATTGTTTGTTACCTCAGAACCTAGTAAATAATGAACCGATTTAAAAAATCCTTTTTGTTTATTCTTTTATAGTATTTGGACATCTAACACACAACGCCATCTAATTTCCAACTAAGCAGAGCTTGTACTATGAAAGCTAGATTGACTGATAGAATACTTATATACTTTTTTTTGTAAATACATACATATTATACATAGAAAACACCCAGTCTCTGAAACAAATATTTGTAGATCATACGAACATTTGGTCCGGCCTGGGAATCGAACCCGAGACCTCAGCACAGCAGTCGCATACGCTACCACTGCGCCACCGAGGCATATTTAATAGGGTATATTCCCATTTGGTTTCAATCAAGTTGGAAGAAGAGAGAAGAAAAAGAAACCTACCGCTAAGGGTAAAAATTAAGGAATCATGAATATACACAAGACATATTGAAGTCTGTGATACTCTTTTTGACACACTGAAACTGCTATTGATTTCATCTGTCTATTGTCGTATTCGTCCATCCAAAGGTTGCCTGTAAGAATTCACTTATTCACTAGCAACAAGGCCCCGCCTTGTGTATAAATTTTACAGATGTATTCCTAGTTAAAATTCTGTTAGTGTGCAATAAAGTTTATTTCTATTCTAAACTGAGGAACTTATGTTTATGTAGAGTAGAAGAATGTGATATCAGATCTAGTGCTTTATGTAGGTAAGAAAAGCAAATTTCGTTTACAATCTAAGTTAATATATTTTATAAAGGTTAAAAATTCATCTGTTATTGAGAAGTTTCTTGATTAAGTAATAAAAATGAATTCTTCTTGATTAAGTAATTAAAAAAAAAAAACTTACGTATGATAACACACAAAACCCGCAACAAAGTTACAAGTATCAAGAGAGCTATGTTTAATTCTTCTTGAAATAGGTATATATCGTGGGTAAAAAAACTTGGAAAGCAGATATGTACTAGCATTGTGTAATCCTAGAGAATAAGATAGATAAATAAAGCTCGTCAATAATTTATTTACGTCATAATAGGAAATGAGTATTTACCTTTAGCTCAATGCCTGAGTCGAACACGGTTATTACATCACATTTCAGTTGTAAAATCTCGTTGAAGCCTTCATCAGATCAGTGGTTAAACCAAAGAAGGAGAAACAAGGAATGAATTAATATGGATTTTAGATATTTTGGACAATTACATGGTGGATCTACGAGTATGTGATCTCGACGTAATCGAGCTACATCAGTGTATTTAATTTTTTTATTTTCCCATCCGAGACCTAAGGAAAGTAGCCGACAGCGGATGGATGAGGACTGCCCAAGACCAGGATAGTTGGCGCTCCAAGGGGGAGACCTTCGTTTAGTAGTGGATGGCAATAGGATGATGATAAGACTTGGGGTTGCCAATTTAACATCTCTCTTATACCTGTCTTCAAATAATAACATTATCAAGGAGAATTGTCGCCAGACAGGCAGGCAGCCATTAAAAGAGC